AAATATAACGTTTTCTGTTTAAAAATTCCAGATTTTAATGGTTGGTTGTTTTTAAATAGTGCTTTAGTTGATGTTGTTTTGATCCTTCTGAAAGACAACGAATTTTCCTTCTTATCCTGGTTGTTTGTATTAATGCATTGTGCGTGTGCGTGTGTGTGTATAGGTGAATGATGCAGTTTGAGAGGGCCTGCCTTTCTTTTTTGGTATTTTGGACCTGTTTTACTGCCCCACCTGTAGGTTCAATTATGTATTCACCCATAGCTTTCATCATGGTGGGATGCTGTTAAGGAAATATGAAGAATCTGTACCCTTGCGGGATTTGGTTTTCATGCTGTGTCAGACTTTGATTTGGACTAAAGAATATTTACTAGTTCTTGCAGCCCCTTGTCCCAAAATAAGCTTGTCCTGGTGCAGTGTTGCACCAAAGGTGTACATTCAACTACCTCCTTTGCTTCAGGCCAAAAAAAATTGTTGCCTTTGCTTGCAAATTTTTGAAGTTAGTGTAATGTGCTTTCTAGTTACTTGTCGACTGCATTTAAGTAATGTTCAAATTTCTGAAGTATCTTTTTCTCTGAATTTTACTCTTTCAAAACGGGAATTTCAGTTTCACTTATCTTTGCTTGGTCAGTTGTCAGTGTATCTTTTGTTTGGATTGAGGAACTGAAAAAGAAGTGCAATGCTCTTTTGCAGTATCCTATGTTGAGTAGTTGGTAGGCTTGTAAATTAAAACCTTCCTAGCTAAAATCAGCAGCACATAATATTGGAGATAGGCATTAATTTAGCAAGTATCACTTGTTTAAATTGTTTTCCGGTCGATTTTTGTACCTTTTCTATTAGCAATACATCTTTTGTACCTGGTTAAGTTCATTTTTAGTTAAAATGCCATGAAGTAGCTTAACTCTTTAGCTTTCCTCTCGGTTCCAAGATGTAGACAGGAGGCAGTGCAGAATCTTCTTTCTGGCAGTGGGTTGAGCATCTCATAATTGTTGCTCCAAACCTGGGGCCACCAAGAGAACTCTATGAAGTCTTCATTGAGGATGCGAGAGTCAAGTGAACTCTGAATTCCGTTAGCACCAGCAAATGTCTTGTGGAATTGCATGTTCATGAACACGTTTATGTCTTGGAAGTTATCTTTCTTTTTTCTTTATTTTTATTTTTTATTTTTTGGTTTTTAGAATGTAAACTAAGCATTTTACATGCAAGCTCTAGACTATGCAGCAGGAAGTGATAGAATGACATTCTTTTGATGTAGATGGAAGATTATCCAGCCGAAATTCTGGTGAAGTCCACAGAACACTGTGGTCCAGTTGGCAACATGGTCCAAAGTCCCCTGGAGGAATCTACTTCGATCTGCAGTATGGAAACAAGGTTCAGCAGCACAGGTACTGAAACTGGAATTTCAGCTGAAAGCAGTTCTGCAGCCAGTGGTGATCCATCTATTGAAGGTGGTTCAAGAGATCTAGAAACAAGTAATTGTAGGAAATGCTTGATTGAAAGTACGGCGTTAGTTGCTCCTCAGGTAAGTGCTGATTATAGTTGTGGTGAATCTCATAGGGATAGTAGTACTTCAGCTAGCACTTCCTTTAAAGAACAACGATCTTCAGACCCTATCTCAGTAAATCTTTCGACTAATGAGGATGCAGTCAGTGGCTTTGAAAATGCAAACAAGGATGCATCTCAGATCCGTCCTGAGCCAAGTATTTTGTCTCCGCAAGGGCTTGGCGATTCACATTTGCATGGGATACCTGTTGAGAATCAGTTAAGTGAAGTGACAACAGTCCATAACTCTGATCCTGATCCTGCCCCTCATGCCTCCGAACCGGTGACTTTTCACACACTAGGAGGTGAATCCATCCGAGAGGCAATGCCTTCAGGTTTAGGTTTTCTCGTATCCAATAGGGAACCAGGCCGGGCAGATGGAAGTGTGCTTCATGTTGATGTTGTGAGTATCTCTTCCAATATTTTGTCTGGTGGCAGTGCTGATACAAGTAGTCGTGAAGCCAGGAGGAATAGTAGAAGATTGTTTTGGGATGCATTTTCAAGACGCAGCTCTAGAAGACTTAATGATTCCTCATCCATTTTTCTTTCAACGGATGATAGTGATGATACAGGATTTCATGACAGATGGCTCCTTGATTTTAGTGGTGATTTCTTTTATGATGGGGCTGGAGGTGATTCCGGTTACCTCAGCAGTGGAATTCACAGCTTGAATGAACGAAGACGACACTCGAGATCAGAGGTATTTATTTGCAAAGCACTTGGAATATTGAAGTTTATTCTGCTTGTTTTTAGTAGATAGAGATATATCAAAACTTGCTTTCAGAAACTAGATTTATTTTAAAATTTGTTTTGGCTCCATTATTCCTGGATTGGGGCTTATGGTCCACTGTATTTTTGTTGGAATATCTTTTGTATCTGGTTATGTATTCGATCATTGCAATCATGTGACAACATTTATCAAGATCTCTTTGGCTATATATATTCAGTTTGTCATCCTGTTCCCTCGTGTACCTTCTATGAACTATCCCATTTGACTCTTTTTCAGATCTGGGAAAGGCTGCGTGGTGGCCATGATGAAAATAGTCGGCGAACGACATTTTGTCCATCTGGACTCCACCCTGATGGCACATGCTCGTGTGATTCTCTCTTGATGACTGATGAGTCTAGTGCTCGTGCAAGCATATCACGGATAGTGATGCTTGCTGAGGCTCTATTTGAGGTAGTTTTCCTTTACCAACTTGCGTGTTCTGCCTATCTTAGGCCAACTCATCATGTTAATGTGATTTTGTTTTGCTGTTCCTTTGTTCCGTGAGAAGTTGATAGTGTATTATATTTTGTGCCAAATTATAAAGTTACTTGTTGATAATGGTCATCATAGATTTTGTCTACGTGGAAGAATGAATCAGTATCAGGACTTTTATGATGTTATAGATGGGTTGTGGGTGTTAAAAATACTTTGTTTTCCCCATTTCTAGTATTCCTTTGCATGTGAGATGTTGATCTTTTTCTTATTCAGAAAGATTTTATGTAGCATTTCTAGTATAATGGGGTGACTTTGTGTATGTGAGACAAGTGAGACTGTGCAACCTTTGTGTTAGTAAAATGGAATGTAGTAATGGTTAACATTTCTGCTCGTGGTGCATTGATATTGATAAACACCTATTCAGCTCCACAAGTTTCACCCATTTCTTCATTCTGTCAAAATGAACGTTTGTAGGTTTTGGATGAAATTCATCGTCAACCAGTATCACTTTCCCTATCTATGGTGTCACTCCCGGCCCCTGAATCTGTAGTTGATTCTTTCCCTCTTAGAAGTCACACAAAATTGGATGCAGCTGAGGGCGGGGATGCTGCTGAACAGTAAGTTGTTTCTTAATACTTGAAGAAAGGATGTGTATCAATTTGCTTCTGAAAGAGCATAGGGAGGAGTGCGTATCAATTTGCTTCTGGAAGAGTATATGGAAAGGAGTGATTCTATTTACTATTTGTGTTTCTCTACTAATTGTATATAGAATATGCTATTAATGTTATCATTGCTACTACTAATCTTATATGTAGGTGTTATATATGCCTGGCTGAATATGAGGAAGAGGATAAAATAAGAGTTCTGCCTTGCCAGCACGAGTTTCACATGTCTTGTGTGGATAAATGGCTTAAAGAGATACATGGGTATCCTTACTACTATATGCTTTCCCTGTCGACCTGCCTTTTTTTTATCTTCTGTTTTGGAAACTGACCTCACTCTCTCTATCTCTGGTTCACAGGGTGTGCCCACTTTGCAGAGGTGATGTTCGTCAGGGTGTGGAGTCCTCTGTCTCAAACTCGGAGATTCCCTCTCTTTGATAAAACTGTACATATGTAAATACTAAATAGTAATGGCTTCTTATACAAATGTTAAATGTTGTATCAACAGTATTTACCATGTTGTATTTCCTATATGCCATCTTGTAGCATCTTTTCCTCATGATGCGACTCCACGGAATTATTACGTATAGCAAATTGAGGAAAATGGGATTTTTTTGGCTTTGCATCTTCCTCTGATGGCTAATCTTTAGCCTAATCAACATGGGAGAGCTAACTCATCAAGCCTATGTGCACAAATTGACAAAGGCATGTTGCTGTTAATTTGTGTTATTAGATATCCATGGATGCTTCTTATGGTACGAATGTCAGTAAACATTTAAAAGTTAACTAATAAACATAAATGCTTACCCTAGTTTCCCTTGCATGGTCTTTTATCAATTGATTGAATATATTTATTCTTGTAGTACAAATTTCCTCATAAAATTGCAGGTTGAATTATCCAAAATCTTTGGGTGCATTGAGGATTATAGAGATGCAGCAGCCAAAATGTGTGAAGCAACAATGCAACATGTTACTACGATATATGACTCTGGTAGTTTTGAGTTGCAAAAGAAGAAGCCTTATAGGCTTTTCACCTTTTTTAGTTACTTTATTTGCCATATAAGTTCTGATTACGATAACAAATCAAATTAAGTTTAGTTCAATGATTGTTAATTCATCCTTGCATGGAAGGTCTACAGGTTCAACTCCCTTTTGCTTCGGCTTTTTCATGTGTCTGAAAATAAAAATCTCATTTATGGAACACAATCTTGACTATAATTATTTTGGTTTAACCTTAAAATTACATGTTCTAAAATTATATATAATGTTTTAAAATTAAATTAGAGTTTACTTATTCAAAAGAAACGTAAATTTTTCTGTATTTTGATGTTTTCTCACTTAGTACTTTATTCTTTATTTTCCTCGCTTAATACCTGACATCTTATTCCGTTTCTGTGTGGAGTTATAGCATCTATATTTCTCTAATTATTATCACGTGCTTAAATTAATTAAGTTGAAATTTTAATTATAAAAAAAAAGTGTTTTAAACCCTTTAGACATTCTAAAATTCCAAATTCCCACGTCTATATATTGAATAACTTTGTGAAAACCAGTGAATATTCAATACCCAAAAAATTAAAAAGGAAAACAGAGAATATTAGAAAAAATATCTTAAAAGATTGCAAATTTGCAATGTTGCAAATAATTTTGTCAAGACGTACAAAGGAAAACTGAGGGACACAATCTACACAAAGCCAACCAAAATACTACAGATTACTCAGAAGAACAAAGTTCTTCTTCATAGTTCATGCATTGCTATATCTTAAATACATAACAACCAAAACAATGCTATTCCAGAAGCAAATGCAAATGCCTAATTGAAACAGCATACAACAGCACTTGCTTTTCGATCTAACCCAGCAAAGAAGTGCCATTCCTTGGGTTCCAAAAGGGATTCTGATCTTGAAAGAAAGCTGATTCAGGTCTCAGCTTGTTGTCAGGGTAATCACAGGAGAAAGGATTATTTTTGTTGTCAGTGTAACCACTAGTGTGGTTATTATTAGCAAAGAGATTTGGGTGACAGTTTTCATCATCTTCAAAAGTAGTCCATCGCGTTGAGTTATTATGATGCTTCTCTCTGGTTGCATTTCTCATGTTCTCCATCTCTCCTACATGGTCCTTGAATTCTTTCTTCACCACATCCAGTACCACATCTCCATATCGATCACACCATGACCTGAAAAATTGGCAAGAAGAGAGGACAATTAGAAATAGAAACGTTGATAATCTGGCTAGAGATCTACCAAATCTTTCAAATCCAAAAGCAATGTAATAAAAGAATTGAGGCCTTGTAATCTAACGGATTACAGATTTGGATAAGCCAAGGGCTGCTACTATATTAGACTCTACTAAAGTGATCCATTTCGTGCATCAAGGACATATATTGCCTAATTATACAGGACAGCATTTTACTCTTTTCATGTCATCTTAGAATTGTAAGCAGCAATAATGTAATATAATTCTCCACTGCCATAAAACAAGGAGAATAAACATATATGTAAGCGTTGTAAAGAAATCAAGCTTTATTATCCTTACTTGGGGAAGAACTTTTTGAGGTCAGCCTTGTCCACAGGAAGGGTTGTGGAAATCGCTTCCATTTGATCGTTCCTAGTGGAATTACAACAAAAGCTAACTTAGGCAAATGCGCAAAATATTGCTCCATTTGAAGGCTTGATGGGAAGAACTCGCTTACGAAAATTTGAGATTCGGATTGGTAGTGGAGAGCTCCATTTGAATTCGTGATAGCTCCTTCTTTATTTTGTCTCCTAAAACCTGCAAGAGTCACTCAAAATAGGACATTAAATATGAGCTCCAGGTTCAATATAAGCCAAGACTAGTATACCATTAATATATACATATGCAACATTAAGATGAACCTTGTCAATGAAGAAATCAGATGGAGCTCCATTTGCATGCAACTTCTTCTTAATCTGTTTTGTGTCTGGCCCCTCCCCGATGGGAGTGGTAACAAGCTGGCATGACCCCAGGAAAGCTTCACTATCTGATCTTTCGTTGAGGGGCAAAGGAGCAGTCTCATCCTCTGAATCACTTCTCTTCCATTTCTTGAAACCATCAAAACCCCATTGCTTTTTGGTTGATTTGGATGCTGTCTCCTCTGAACCAGGGCCATAATCACCACCCCCACCACCATGTCCCTCTCTTTGCTCTCTATGAAACAAAGTTCTAAACGGTTTTCTCTTTGCCTTATCAGTACCACTGCCATTTTCCTTCATGGATTCCGTAGGCAATATTTCTTCTTGCATGAGAATTGATTTCGTTTCGTTTTCTTTACCCTTCAAATGACTATCCGAAAACGGGTTTTCTTTAGAACCCTCCATAGAGGCTGAGGAATTTGAATCTACATCGAATATGCTCTTTTCGGATCTATTTTTACTTGGCTTCTGAGATGATCCAAAGCCAAAAACTGAAGCTGCTCCTTTGATCTGCTTCATTGTGAGGTTGTTCTTTGATTTGTTCTTGGAATGCAACAAATTGTCTCTATTAGTGCTGCAGTTTTCATCCTTCAAGTCAATGACAGACCATTCTTCTTCTTGATTCTCGTTAGTGTCTTTGGGGTTCGCAACAATTACATCTCTGGCCTCAATTTCAGCTCCTTGCACTGCTAATCGCTGTAACAAAGGCCTCTTTGAAGAATGGTACTCCTCCTCTGATATGCATTTTGCATAAAGCAGTTCCTAGGACAGAGGAAACCAAAGTGGAAACTTATCAAATCCATTTTCACACTATGAATTTTGTTGTATTATGCACTAAAAAGTAAAACCAGTTGAATATTAGCTCAATTGAGTGAAATTACTCATCTAAACTAATCAAAATTGTTCTTTTTAATCTATAGATGTCAGCTTAATTGTCTATATCCAAGGCAAATATCCACAACAACTGCAATCTACAAAAACCAACTAATTTCCTAAACTAAACCAAAATACTAGATCCCACAAAAAAAAAGAGAAAAAGATAAATAAAGTAGGCGTTAAATATTTACCTGCAAGAAGACCAATTTATCTCTCAAAATAACAGGCTGCTCTAGTTCAGATGGAGAAGCAATAAGGGTCTCAAGCAAATGCGTTCTAAAAGCTGCAACCTCAGCTTCACCAAGAATTCCTTCTTTGTGTAGACCCATCAAGTTCAATATCTGGTGAAAGGAATCCTGCTGCCATTTCAGATTATCAGACTGCAGCTTGGAAAGCCTGTGTTCCAAGGCTGGTAACCGCCTTTTCTTGAATGAGAAAGGGAGAATTGTCTTGCAAAGAGAAGTGATGGAGTCATGGAGAGTGGAGTAGTATGTGGGTGTATAGCTGTACACCATTTTCGATCTTTTGGCTTGTCGATGAGAGCTTGAAAATGGGTTGAAGCAATATTTGAGACTGATGGTTTTAGTTGCCAGAGCTTTTGATTATTATTTTTGAAGAAAATTTCGGGATATGTATTTGAACAGGGTGAGATTGTTGTTTCAGTTTCGAGAGTTTTGAATCTTGGGGAGAGCTTAAAACGGTCACTTGAAACTAGCCGTTGAGAGTTGGAAGACAGATGCGAAGCCAATTATTAGTTGATAGAACGCTGTCGTTTTCCTCCACGTTTATAGTCATGATACCAAGTTTAAAATTTGTGCAAGAATATTTAGTTTCCTTTTTCTTGTTTTGAAAGAACATATCTATTGTTTACAATTATTGTAAGAATAGTTATCAAATCCAATCCAAAATCAACTCCAAGATTTTGGGTTATTGTAAGGGTAATTACACAATGATATATTTAAATTTTAAACCCAAAACATGAAGATTGATATTTTCCAATTTAAAATAATTATTTCTTAAGCAAATACCATTATGATATTGTTATTTAAACATCTTAAAATATTAAAACATAATAATATAAGGTAATAATATTAAAACATATTTCTTCTTTTGAAAGAATATACTTATTGATTTACAATATAATATTGACTCATTTTATCATCAATTCACTTGACTTTCATGTAAGTTTATGATTATCTCAAAATAATAAAATTTTAAAAAACAGAGAAAATAGTTAAATAGGTTAATAGATAAATTGAAAATTAAAATAAAATATTTTTATTTGTTTTATTCATTTAATAAATAAGATAAATACTTTTATCTTGCTTATTTTATACTTGTTTTTATTGTTTTTGTACAAATAAAGGCATTACAATTAAAAATTTAACATAATTAGGTCATTTCTTACTTATTATGATAAATATATTTTGTTAATGTACATATTATTTATTTGTTTATATATCAAATTATACTTCAACAATCATAATATTTTCTTGGCTAAACTCCACATAAATCTCCTGATATTTTCTGACAAAGAATCCTGATGTTATTTTTTTTCTCATATAAAACTGTGTTTTATTTTTTTATATTTTTTCTGAAAAGTAGTAACAGTATTAAATTGTCAATTAATTTTTTATACAAAGACAATAACATCTTTTGTGTTTTAATCTTTTTTTTTTGTTTATTTAATTAAAAATAATAATATATATTTGTGTTTCTTTCTTTTCTAATTTTTCTCTCCCTTTCTCTCCTCATTTTCTCACTGTCCAAACAAGAAACGTAGGTGACACTTGCCCGTTACCTGTAATAAAATTTAATGCTCTCCCTCCTACCTCAATACCGTTACTAGATTTCTTCAGTTCCTTCGCTGCTTCGGGGTGCCGGTTTAGACTGTTTTCTTCTTCAAATTCTAGTTCTTTCATTGACTCTATACTGGGGCAAATCTAAAGTTGATTTTGTTATCAGCACATTTCAAGAAGAAAAATTCTAGCCAGATTCTGACCATTCATCACCCTCTGCCAACATCTCAACGTTAGATACAGAACCTTTTTTATCTTGAAAAGGCTTTAATTGTAAAGGGGCTATTCACTTGGGCATTAAAATACACTTCCCTGTAATGATCTGCTACTTTGGACAAATGACTTGCTTAGGCATTAAGATACACTTTGTTCTACTAATTTGTTGCTCTGGACAACGACTGTACAGAAACACCAAAACCTGGACCCATATGCTAGCAAATATGGAAGGAGTTCACATACGCAGCATACTTTAAGCTTAAGTCTTCTTTAAGCTTGTTGACTTGGAACAAGTGGGATATTTGGTCATTGAAGTTGGATTGATTAAGGTCACATATATATGCAACAAAGAGTTTTGACCCAAGTGATGACTAACATTCATCTTCTTAGAAAATTTTTTTTTGATGAATTCTCTTTTTAAGATTAAGTTTTAAATTTTTTTAATTAAACAACAACAAAAAATTAAAACACAAAAGTTGTTATTGTTTTTTTATAAAAAACTAACTGATAATTTAATGCCATTATTATTTTTGGGAAAAGAAGTAAAACACAAAGTTTAATATGAGAAAGAAATAACTCAAGAGGTTATATAAGAAATGACTATACCACAAAGGGTCTATGTAGAGATTATCCTATTTACTTTGTTCAAGTTTTGATGTTGGTTAAATTGGTGAAAACTTGGCTTTTCTTTTCAATTCAATTTATCTAAATCTAAGTTTGATCCTCACCCTTAACAAATTTTTGGTAATTGAATTAATTATTAATTGTTAATGTATATAGACAAGTTTAGGGTGCGAGTAGTCGATACTATTCAAATATTAAATATAATTAGGTTTGAAAGTCGAGTATCCAATGAATGATACCCATATCCTGCTCCAACTAAAAATGAATAGTAAATTTCTTAAATTGTTTCATTTATAAATAATTTAATTTTTTTATTTTTAATTTAAAAAATATTAATATAAAGTAGTATTTTAAATATTTTAATAATAAAATAACAATTAAATGAATAAACCAGGTAGAATTTAGACTGAGCCTTTTAAATTAAAAGTCCAATGGACCCAATCCGACCCACGATCAACTCTTTATATATGCATCATCGTGACATTAGTAGTGATCTAAAAATGGTTTAAATGTACCATTACAAGTGACATACAAACCAATAAATACTAATAAACTCTTTGAAAGTTCTCTGTTTTCTTTTTTTATTTTATTATTATTATTCTTGGTTTAGAGTGGTCCGAATTAAATTAAGGAGGTCGGTGTATTCATTGAGATTTGCAAATATTTTTCAAATCATGCTTATCACTAATCCTCTCTTGCTCTCCAATAAATCAATAACCATAAGCATCAAAAAAAGTAATGACCAATTAATGTATACAATTAACGTTTATTATAAGAATTTCGAGTATGCTTATTTTTTGAGCTATAAGATAGTTATGAGAATTAGCTTCATCTCATTCATTTTAAAGTTTGAATTCAAAATCCCTCTAAAATAGAGTTTCAACATTTTAATAGTTAGGTATTCTTTCCAAACATAACTGATGCCTATTATTAGGGTGGGGGTGGGCTGCGTTTGTACAAACAAAGATATTCCACATTTCAGCTGCAGGTGAGACCATCTTCTTTTTCTTTCTTTTATCTTTCTCTCTGGAATGGGTGCTATGGTGGTCCTTAATCTTTGACAAAACTAACACGTAACATTACATTAGTGAAGTACATTCCACTTTCCACATTGTTAGGCATTAGCCTACTTCCTTTCCACACAACATATCATCTAGGGATGAGCAATTGATCGGTATGGTCGTTATAATTAAAAATTAAATAAATTAAATATTTTTAAAAAATTAATCAAAATGGATTAAATTTAAAAAAAATCAAATTGACCAAACATCGAATTGATTTGATCAATTTGGCTTTGGATCAAAAGAATTGAAATTACCGTTTTATTCATTTGCAAATTACAATATTAAAATTTATAAATTTATCTACAATTATAAAATATACAAATAATCTAAATTTAAAAAATATATGTATAACATTTGTTCTTTCACTCACATAATAATACCCTTTCACATAAGCAGTCAAACTAACATTTAAGTGTTTTAAATTTACATTTTATACATTAATATTATAAATTTAAAAAATATATAAACTAAAATTATATATTAATATATATAATATTAATTTAATCTTTTAGTCAGTTCAATTCAAAAAATTTAAAACTAAAAATCAATTAAATAAATTAATTGAACCAAACCGTTTAATTACTCAAATTACATTTAGTTTGATTGGGTCAATAATCCGATCCAATTTTACCCATCCCTAATATCATCTATTATGTGGTATGACAAAATGGATGCTATTGTCAAGGTCAATATTTACTTAAAATTGAAAAATTAACAAAAGAAAATGAGATTCAAATCCAATTTTAGGAATAAGGAGATACATGTTATTGTTTTAATTTGATAATGTTCACCTTCTTATCTTACAATGTGTTCTTAACGAATCGACTAGGTAGGCTTCTTTGTGAATCATGTGTGATCACAATTCATGGTCCGTCAATATAAGGACGAATAATTAAAGCTAAATAGTGGATGGAAATCGTTTTCACAGGATCCTGTATAAATCGATAAGCATCACTAATACTCATAACCAATATGCTATTGACGCGTATGATTATATGAATGGAGCAGGTTGCCCAAATCGCATTTAATTTAAGTTCACACGCGGGGTTCAATATTTTTAAAGGCCTAAAGTGATTAAACATTTAAATGAGGCCCTTGCTAAGAAAAAAAATTAAATGAAGCTCTTTTTATTGAAATTTAAAAAAAATACCATTAATTGGATATCATTAAAAGCATATTACATTCATTGAAAATAGAAAAAATAATTAAGAATTATTAGCATTATAAGAATTGAGAAATAATAAAAAATAAAAATTTATTAAGCACATAATTGAGAAAATGAGAACATATGTAATTTTATTAATTATTTTGACTTTTTCAAGAGTGAGAAAGTGAGATAAATAGTTAAGAATTAATAAGAAGTAGGAAGTGAAAGTAAATAAATATTTAATAGACACTTAATTTAAAAAATATTTTATTAATTATTTTAATTTATATATATATTTAATATAATTAATTATATTATATAAAATTATCATACCTATAAAATTGTGAGACCTAAGGTAAGGACGGCCCTGACTCCACACCTGCCTAGTTGTTTCCTTTTTTTTTCTTTTTTCTTTTCAGCCTTTTCACCATGAGCTCCAACCCTTTCATTATCAATGCAAAAATGTTGATTTATCCGTCAGTCAGCTACACTATTTAATTATTTACAAATAATGTAAACATAATTAATATAATTTTATGGACATTTTATTTTTATTAGTAGTAGCACAGACAGTCAAAACTGATTGAACTCTTTATCATTCTCGTAAAGATTTGGTTGGTATATGATACGTCTTAGTGAGCAGAACATGACAATATAGTCCACTCCAACAAACGGAAATTGGCCAATTTTTTACAAAAACTAATTCTTAATTATTTATATCAACTTTGGTTTTTGTATAATTTTTTTTTAATATGACTGGGGGAAAATGATTTTGTGAGTCCAAATGTTCACATCATACGAGAGCTAGCATTATCTTTCAATAAAAATGATAAAACATTTCATAATGGAAAAAGAAATTCAGATGCAAGAAGAGTCATGCATTAATTACAATATTTCAACCTTTTAATTTTTTTTAAAAATATTTCAACCTTAGATTTTACAAAATTGTTGGCCCACTGTGATTGGAGTTGGAGGTAGACAAGATTAGGTGCATTATTTAAGCTGAATTTCAAAGGTAGGGCAAGAGAATGAATGGACATTGATGTGCATGTTCAATAAAAGAATCACTTTACCATGGCGGAATGCCCCATGCACCTCGAATTTTATTAAGACTTCTTCTATCAGCTGCAATAAAAGTATAATAAGGGTGCAGTAATTTAACTAAGAGTAAAATATAATGATATTTTTTTATCATAATTATACAAGTTAATTAATTTTTAAAATAAATAATTCTTCCAAAAAAAGATATTTTCATTAGATATATAAGTCATGTTATTAGTCAATCGTTAATTTTTTTATTAATTTAATGACATGATAATATTTTTAAAATAATTTTATTTTTTATTAATTTTAAAAATTATTACCATATAAACTAAATTTTTTATTTTTTTAATTTTTTTCTAAAAAAAAACTCACATTCCAACCACCTTGCAAGTCGTGATGCTCCCTGATCAAGAGAGCACCAAATTTGGTGCTCCTGTTCGTGCTCCCTTGAAGGGCATCGTTTTCCCTAAGGGAACATTTATTTGGTGCTCCTTATGAGGCATCGTGCTCCCAAGGGAGCACCAGATCTAGTTCTCCTTACGAGAGCTCGAGATCTAAGGTGTAAGACTAGATCTCATGCTTTATTGGAGAAATTCGGTTAGATTTGACATTCTAAGGTCAAATCTAATCTCAATATGATAGATCAGTATAAGAAGGAAGCATTAGTCTACTTCAGAAAAAGGAAAAAAGTGAAAAAAAAAAAACATTTTTAAACATTTTATATTTAGACATTAATACCGTTTATATATTTAGAATGAATTATTTATTTGAAAAATTAATAAATTCACTTGTAATTATAATTAAAAAGTGAAAATATCAATATATTTTACTCTTTAATCAATTATAACCCTCTCTCTGCCAAGAGGGGATTAGGTAGTTCATTTAAAATTTCAACATGCATAATATATATATATATATATATACATATTTATATATGTTTGAGTTCCTAATAAGTTGAATTTCCCCTTTGATAGAGGAAAAAAGAAATGTTGCTAAACAAATATATTTGATTGTATTGTATAATCTTTTTGACAGTATTTTGGGTAAAAAAATGTCGTTAAGAAATTTCATATATTAACGAAAATTGGATTTCTATACAATAAACTATTTATAAATTAATATTTTAGGATCATGAAAATTTATTAATTAATCAAGATATTATTTAATTGATAAATTAATAATTTATTAATTTATATATTAATTAATAAAAAATTAATCAATTCATATCTTCTTTATTTTACTTTTCAAAATACTAAATTTAATATATATATTGTGTGTTATGATTATACGAATATTGTCTAATTACTGAATTATGAATTATTATTATTCTATGTGTTTGTTTAACCAAAACGATGTCCATAAATGTAATTAGTTTTATTAAATAGAAGTAACAAATTTTTTCATTTTTGCAACAAACTAAAATTACATTCGATATATACTTAATTAATATACTTCATAAACATTAAGTCAAACAAAAACATTTATAAAAAAAACATACCATGCTACAAACGATAAAACTAAATACAACGATTTCTTTAGATGTAAAAAAGTCAACAATGACAAAATGTGTAAAGCATTGTGTGAGTATAATACAGAAAATCCAAATTGTGTCCAAAAGCAATTGTAACAGTAGGTGTTTGAAAAGTTTAATTTGCTAGTAAACCAAACAACAATATCAAATACAATCAAAATATATTCAAAGCAAAAATCACATTACATAATTTTTTTTTGTAATATGAGAACACTACACTAGAGTTTTTTAATGCAATAAGAAAAGTTAGAAATGAGATATAATGAGACATCAATTTCAAGAAAAAATAAATAATATTGAAGTCATATTTTATAAAATGTCTCTTAATTGAATCATGTATATATATAATTTTGATATATAAAGAGATTATTAATTTATATATCTAGTGAGATCTATGTGTTTTCTTTTAAATGTATTATTTTATAAGTTTAATGAATTATTAATTTATCATATTGATCTCAATCGAAATCGATTAAAAATATTATTTAATCAAAATTATTAATTTATCGAATATAAATTATCAAAATTTTGCTGTCATTTAACTAGTAATTATGGAAATTCTCATATATTTAACTACTAACTTCGATAATCTTCCAAGAAATTTCTGGTGACTGCTTACATGATATTTCATAATCAACCGTGTACATTGTGATTTTGCTTTTTCCTTTCCTTGGCAAAAAAATATAATCAATTCTCTGGTACGGCTATGAGGGGAAGCAACTTGCCCTGTTTTATGTGTGCGTTGGCCTAACACGGAGTCGCAAGTGGAAATATAGGAGCAAAAGATACTATACCAAGTATACACTACAACTCTTCAAAGGAAAAGGGTGATTGTGGATGTCATTAAATAGTATTATTGCCTAGAAGCTTTTGTTGACGCAATACTAAAAGTAAACTTTCATTTGATGCGCATGGTTTTGGATTGGTAGGTTCAAAGTGAATCTACTTTAAATGTTTTAAAATTAAAAAAAAAAGATATTTGTAAAATCAATAGATAAAAGAAATTACCTTCCATCGTGTAACTTAATATTTTTACTACTAAAAACAAGTGAGAAGCCTGTGAATATATTTCTGAATTCTTGGGTAGAGGTTATTTTCTCATATTTGTCCTTGTTTTAGATGGGTTTAGTGGAATTGGTTCAATGGATTGTTGAATCACGATATAAGCAATTCTTAACATTTAGTACCAAAATACTGCTACTATCAAGAATTCTGTGATCAAGAATGCTAGAATTAGAAACATGAAAAGAAATTTTTAATTTCACATATGAAAACAAGCTATTTCCTGATTCATGGGTAATCATTCATCACTAACCCTACAACAATCCTTTGACTTTGTGATAAAAAAAAAAAAGAAATAAGCTTTTTTCAAGAAAGGATGCCCATTCTGCAACATGGGCAATGAGCATTATTCTCTACCCATGGGATCAGGCACCTCGAATGAAACCGATGTGCGCATGGCGGATGAACCAAGATCTCACCAGCCTTGAACCGTTCCAAGCAAATGGCGCACTCTTCCGGATCTGAAGCCTTCCAACTCAACTTGGCCCAACCGAACCTCTTTGTGCCACTCTTCTTTGGTCCAAACACTTCCTTGTGCAACTCCCCTTGTACCATAGATCTCCCATCAACGCACCTCAAACTTTCTTTACTATTTTGCCTGATTTCAATGCCCAAAACAGGGGAGTAAGTGCAAAACTAAAAACTAATTACGCTGTATGTTAGCAAGTAACATAGCAGATATGCTAACATGAACCTGATATAAATATTCTGTTGTTTAGTACCTTGTGGGTTCTGATTTCCTTTGTGTTCTCAGCCTCTCATCTAATCTTTCCTTGGCTTCTCTTGCTACCTCTCCCAGCTTCTCATCTTGATTGGCCTGATTTAATATGCTCCTTCGCTTTATTTTTTCCGAGAAAAACCAAGTCAGTCCCAATTATAATCTCCACCATATATATGGACCCAAAATTACTGTATAATCAAGAAGAAGAAGAAGTACCTGTGAAGAAACAGAGCTATGATGAGTTTCATGGTTGCTTGTATACAAACAAAAAGAGGACCTCCTTGTCAAGCCAATTGCTACCGTGCTTGGTGAATCAGATGCGCCTCCGCTTTGATGGAACCGTCTTCTTCTGGCAGATTCAACACCAGGAAGCATGCCGGCCATTGATGAAAGATATTAATTCTGAAAGAGACTATTAATTAAGATCAGTGTCTTTTATTTGCTATATTCAGGCCTCGGGCATGGTCTACTGTAAACAGATTTGTCTGCCGGTTTGAAGCTACCTGAAACAAGGAGGAAATGAGTGGCTATAAAGAGGAAATACCTGTATAAATAATTGCAAGGAGAAAGGGTACAGAGAAGGGGTTATGATTAAAAAGTGATTGAATCTCTAAAAACAAAGAGAAAAACAGTCGTTACCTCCTAGAGATTACTAGTGGGAGACAGAAGCGGGTCCGTGCCATTGATTGTGGAAGAAACAATCTTTCTCAATCATTTCCGACTTTCATCCTTCATTTGAGAGATGGAAGAAGTATAAGTCTTGTTTCCGTGTAAGAGCTCGAAATATACCCAACAGATTAAAATATTAAGACCGAAAAGACCGTTAGAAAAAATAAGGAAGGGACGAGGAAGGAGGCAAGGTAGCTTCATGCTAACTTACCTTGTACCAGCCGCCCACTAGAACCCCGCACTTGTGTCGGAGGGTAAGCCACGTGACTAACCCGATTCTCACTTTTCTTTACTTGTAAGTGGAATAACTTTTTCCTTCTCAAAATTTGTTTTTCTTTTAGACATTTATTAAAACCTTACTCAATAACCACGTAATTTAAATAACTAGGCAATATTTAACATTTTCAAATTTTCATTTCAAGACATATGCTTTATTTTAGTTAAGTTATTATTTGTTTAAAAGTTATTTTACAGAATAAAAACAAACATAGAACAATTAGATCACAAGAATAGTAGTGAAAGTAGTTCGAAATAAATTATAAGGTTCATAAATATCACTAATATGTTATAGTAAGTTTGACTCGATAATTCAAATATCAAAATAATTAAAAGTTTTTCACTTAAGTATTTTTTTTTTCGTTCTCGAGAAACATGTGATATATTATTAAGTGTCATTAAATTTCACTACGACATTAAATCAAAATATCCATCCACTGCTTAACATATGTAGTGAGCTAACATGTTATTTTCATGTTAAACATATTCTTACATAATCAACTTATTCTTTCCACGATGAACATGTTCTTCTATAAAACACTTGTTTCTTCCCATGATACTTATGTTCTCCCCAAATGTGTTCTTTTCATGACATCTAATAAATACTTTCTAGTTAATCGCATATACTTTGTATGTATAAGAGCCTTAACAATTCATCAAGGGCACTAACAAATTCAATAGATTCCTTCTCAATGAAAGTACATATGAAGTCTTTGTATTATATCAATTTTGTTTAATTTAATCTTTCTATAATATTTTTAATTTAGCCCCCTTACTCTGCTAATTTAGATAAAATTACTCATAATGACTAAATTACACTAAATAACTAAATAAAGAGAATTCACCACCTACCTAAAATATAAAAATACATAAATTTTAAATTAAATACTACCCGAAAACAGCTCAAACTCTTAATTCTTTTTTTGCAAAAAGTACAAACAGCGAATAAATTGATGAAAGAGAATCCCACCAACCACACCAAGATATCATGATTGAGCCATGTAACGACTGTGAAAAGAAAAAGAAAAGAGAAGAGACGAGATGCATCAACCCCACCCCCTCACTAGAATTTTTTTTGTTATTGCATGATATCTCGGCAATGGTCCTACTCATGTGAAGGAAAGAGAGGATGATGAAAGAAAAGGCAACGTTGTCAAGTGACAAAGGATAGTGAAGATTGAGGCAGGAAAAACCATGTAACCCTGGATTATATACTTTATTGGGTCTTTTTATTCTCCAGCATTTTTTTACAGAATAGTGCATTAATTTGCCCATAATCTCATAATAATCCTTTTGATAATTGGGCCAGAAGGGATTTCGACTCATAAACATTTTTATTTGGATCAGACAACAACTGCTGCCCTGGTCATCACTTTGTCTACATTCTTTTGATTCATTTAGCCACAATACTTGATCTGTTTTGTGCGAAATGCTTTTGAATAAACAACTTAATATTGGAGATATATAATAATTATATAAAAATAACCCAAGCTTAGCTTAATAGTTTTTATCATCCTGAAAAGCTAAGATTTAACATTTAAATTCACCTTCACCCTTACCTTGTGAGTTAACATATAAGCAAAAAAATAAGGTTTTGATATTTGTAAATATTAGATTCAAATCCCATACTATATAAATTTAGTAAATTTTATATTGATCTGCATTAATTTGTTTATTTGTCCACTAATTTAACTTTATATTAGTTTGTTAGTTAGTTTGTTTATTCATTGATTTTTTTAATAAATATAACATATAATAATATATATGCAAATTATGTGATTTTATTTAAAATTTTTGTTTGTAATTATAATTTCATAAATAAAAAAAAAAAGCCTTGAAGTTACTGTCAAACTACAAATAATTTTTGTGGGTGCTCCTTATGGGTTTAGATTGGGTTACCAAAAACAATATGTTAACAACTTGAACCAAACCCAAATATTTGTCAATGCGCAACTGGTGCTGGTTGACTGCCCGCCAATAATTTCTAGGCTTGGTTTTAGCCCACTTATATCCTTTGCAAAAGCAAAGAAAAGCACAAAAAGAATTGTGTCACACGTTGGAATTAAAATCTAATCTCGTACTATTTTAAATTTTAAAAATAAAATTTAAATAAATTTATAAATTATAAATATATATTTTTAATTTAAAATACATGCTTAATAGTGGTGGATGATCTAAGTTTGTATTTGCATACCACTTGTCATAAGTCGAATCTAAAACTTAATCTTATTTGGTCTTAAGCTCTAAAAATAAAGTTTAAATAAGCTTACAAATTATAGTTCATATTCTCAACTCAAAAGACATACTTGATAAGTGGTGCAATACTCATATTTATATTTTCAAGATCTACCCTATTTCTTATTTATATGAGATTTGTAACTTGTGTATCAAGCCAAATATTTATGATAAAAATAATTTTACATTGAATAATATTATAAAAAATCATTTTAAATTTAAAAATATATAAAAAATAATAATAAAAAATAATAAATATTTAATACTAATATTTTTAAAAAAATTTATCATTGCCTTATGGTCAATGTAAAATTTTTTTATTTAAATGGTTTTTAATTGTTGGAAAATTTTATTCTTTTAAATCTTAATATATGTTACTAAGAATACAATCATATTTTATTAATTATGATAATTTTAGTAACAAAATAAAATTAAAGTCAAGAAAATTAAATATATGGAAAATAATTATTCGTAAACTATATTATTTATATCATAAACTTATTTGTAAGAGATTTGCAAGCGTGGTTGATATAAATTTCATTTATAGTTGCAAATGTAAAATGATATGTATTTCAATTACAGTACTTAATAAAATTTTCTTTATTCAAATTTTGTAAATTATTTACCGTTTTTATTATTTCTTTTTTTATCTTATGTCTTCATAATTGTTTTAATTATGTTCACAAGGTGGATTGATTTTAAATAATTATTTTCAAACCCTTTTTTCTCATCCCTTTCTTCATTTCTCGATCTGGTGCTGTCATCAACCTTGTCCTTTCCGACGACGACGGGTCCTCCCTTTGTTCTCTTCCCTCTTCGTTTTGCAGCCAATTTTCACTCTTTTTAAAAAACCTTAACATCCCTTGAGATTATTTTCTCTCTCCACCATCGATCCCATCAGGGAAAAAAAAACTTTAATTATATATATAGTAATAAATGTGAAGAAGAAATGTAACATGCAAATTTATCATTTCATATTTTTTATTGTTAAGAAAAGTTATATTAATGTTAATGAATAACATTTAGAGATATTGGTAATCAAAGAATTATTTTTTAAAATTAAATGATCAAAATGGACAATCTCTTTTGAAACATATTTTCTTGTTTTATATCAGAATATCAATATTTTTACTTTTAAAAATGAAAAGAAAATCATAACAATCTCTATAAGATCATAGCCAAAACCCTTGCCTACTAGATAGACATTGATGATTAGTGAGGTTATCAACAAGAACTACTTTGCTTTTGTTGCTAGTAGATAGCTTCTTGATTGCTATCTTACTGCAAGTAACGTCGTTGATTACACTAGAAAAGAAGCAAGCGGTGCACTGTTATTCAACGTGGATTTAGAAAAGCCGTATGATTCCATCGATTGAGAGTTCCTCTATCGAATTTTAAGAAAAATGAGATTTGACAGTCGAGAGAGAAAATGGGTTAAGGGGTGTCTTTCCTCAACATCCATATTGATACTGGTCAATGGCAATCCTAGATCATAGGCAACGGCTACCTAGGTCACCCTTTGTGCGTTCTTTTGTAGCTATCGTCATTAATATAAGATCACTGCCTTTCAAAAAAAAAACTTTTAACTTACCAATATATATGAACTTCGTTATAATATTTCGAAATCATCGCATTTGCTTAGCTAGAAAATATCATTGATAAAACTTCAAATTAATTTCCAAACAAAAAAAAGAGGCATGAATGGAGTGCCCAAAGAATTTCCGAAATCACAAAAAGCATTAACCACTATTATTATCCAAAATTACTGAAAACGCCCATCCCCTTAGTCTCGGAGGTTCAGGTTTCTCCGTTGAAATGATAACCAACCATTTCCTCGTTTCCTTACCATTCGTGTCCTTTTTTTTTTTTTGTAATTTTGCCAAATCCCCCCACTCTATATTCTATTATTCCCTCTCCTTCACCCATTCGCAAAATAACTCCCAACAAAAAAAGAAAAAGAAAAAACCCAAAACCTTTTCTTTTCTCTTTTTTTATTTCTCAAAAGAAAAAAAAAAAGGGGTAGGGCAATGAGCAGCGAAAGAGATCCAACCTCTCCAATTTCTCCGTCATCTCTAAAACAAAAGCTAAAATCTTCTATTTGTCTCCCATGGCTCAGCCACCACAGCCGCCAAGACAGGGCTCCAAGTGCCTCAGCAACACCTCTTCCGACCCCTTCTCCAAGCCCTACGGCTAATAACAACCACAACAACCCAAGGCTAAGCAGGACATTGTCTCCTACGTGTCTTAAGTCCCCGGAGTTTAGAGACAAGTGCCGTAGCTTGATTAACCGCATTGGACACGGTCCTGGTCACCGCCATAGCCACTGCCATGGTTATCACGGGCATGGCCACGGGAGACGACACTCGGCGGATTTTCGATATGATCCGTCAAGTTACGCATTGAATTTTGATGAAGGGTTCAATGATAGCCAACTTGATGAGTTCCCTTCGAGAAACTTTTCTGCAAGGTTGCCACCTTCTCCTACTGCTACTACTTCTAGAGAAATCACAGCTTATACTTGAAAAATAAGATTTAGGCTTTCTGTTGAATTTGCATGGAAAAATGATGGCTTGATGAGGATATAGCGGTAGGGTTTCTTTTTTTTTTTTTTGTTAAAAAAAATTGCTTGCAATTGTATATAATTTTTTTTTCTTCTGGTTTGTTGATTAATCTTTGATAAAAAGTTACTATAAATAAGATGAATCCTTATCTCAATGATGTAAAGAAGATCTTGAAATTTATTAAGTTTTAAGTTTCCAATCCCATCATACCTGAAGTTGATTATATTTTATGTTAATCTGTTAATTTATTTATTAATTTCTTCTATTAAATATAATAATCATCTCATATTTTTTGAGAATTAGATTATAATTTTTATTCATGAATGTAATCTCATAAAAAAAATTTCATAAATTTGTGAAGGTAATTGTTGAAATTAATTAAATATTTAATTATGGAAAAATAAGGGGATATGAATGTGGCTTCCATGGAAAAATGCATAAATTCCAATATCATGAGTTCATGTAATAACTTATGTTTGAGAAAGAATAACGAGACAATCTAGAAGTAGTTTCACATCGTCTTTTTTAATATATATATATATATATATGTGTGTGTGTGTGTGTTATTTTCTTGTAAACTTATTAATGTTAAAAGTTTTGTTTAGTAAGCCTAAATTAACTGTTTTTCGAAAATGAAAATCAGATGTGTCTATATTGTTGAATTGTTGTGCTTCATTCTCTAATTAGTCATTAGTAAACAATGACGGAATCAAGATTTTTAAGTTCGAGGGGATGAAAATGAAAATATAATATTTGAGGGGGTAAAATTATAAAATTGAAATAAGAATGAGTGATTAGAATGAATGTTTGAGAGTGAGAAATGATTAAAAGGCATGGCCGGCAGCCCAGCACACCCAGATGGTTGCCTGATGGAAATTGAAATAACAAGAAAAGCAGATTCCATATGTTTCTCAACTTTGTTTTAGCTAAATGGGGATCTTCTTATCCAAATATGATTTTGCCAGAAAAGGCATTGCCCATTTTGCATAGGCAAACATTATTACCAGCATCAGCATTCCGTACCAAGTTACCATCCTAATAATTGTGTCTGAGTACTAAATTTCAATAATGCAATGAAGCCAATGATACGTGGAAACAATACAACGGATATGTGTAAAATACGTGTCCGAAGGTGGCCCAAGGCTTCAACCTTTTGATTGAATTTAAGACACTAGAAATTATATTGATGATATACATGGGTTTGTATGCTCCAAAAATGGGCCCTGGCTTTATCTTGTGTTAACAAGTACCCTAGGATTTTACCCAAAACTCACTCATCTACTTGCATAGGTTCTATCACTCAACTCAAATTAGCTGTAAGTATACTAAGGACGTGTCCGACTTTCTTATTTGTGAATCAACAATGCATGTACTAGATATGAGATTTTATAGAAATAGTCTTTCATCTCAATTACTTCATTACCCGACTATTCCCAGGATAATTAATGCGTTGGGAATGTTGCACTGCGGGTATGGATGATTCACGATTGAATTGCTGTTGAACTCTTATACACATGGTTTTCAAATGAAGAGATTATTCTTTAAACTTAAAGAATCAAATCTCTTAATTGACGTCAATGAGATAGAATTGGTTTCAATCAACACTATCTCTAATCGGTAATAGTTTCATACTTCTCATAGTGCTAACAATTTTATCACTTGATAAAGGTTTAGTAGGAGGGTTCGCTAACATTTAACATGTAAGAAAATATTCTAGATTCACCTTAGCTTTCTTTGCAACAATTCTCAAATCTCACATGATTATATCTCCAAGCAATATGCTTGCTATTGTTTGAAAATCTCTCAATTTTAGTGTTGTAAATTACAGTATGATTGTCACAATACAAAGCGATTGGTCAATTCGTAAGAGTAACAAAACAATTGTTAGTTGAGGAAGGGGGTTCACAATATTTTTGCACAAGTGGTGCATCTCAAGTTGCATTTTGAGTCTGTTAGTAGCTCGATAAGGTTGCTACCGGTTAACATCTCTCTTAAGATTCGTATGTTCCTTGTCGTATCTCTAGATTCATTTATGAAAGAAGGTTTTATTTTTTTCACTTGAAGATCCATAATATCAATTATCCTGCAATTTCTATATTTACACACTATGTTCTACTCAATATAATGAATTTTTTTACTTTGCCCTAGCCTCACACTAAAGGAACCTCATTTGAATTTTTCCAAGTTTGTTTTTTATTCTTATGGGAATTTAGAACCAAAACATGAAGAAATGGGGAGGCTCACTAGAAACGACCTCAAAAATGTCACTACCCCTCACTCGAGAACAACTTAGCTTTCCACCCAGCTAATTTTACCTCAAACCTCTTAACAACCACCGATTTCCAAATCTTCAGGGAGAGTTGATTTGTCCCAAATGGGAGACCCAGGTATGTATTTGGAATGCTTCCCACCCTACAAGAGATCAAATCAACCCAAACACCAACCAGCTGCATTTCAATTCTAATCCCAATGAGATTACTCTTCTTAAGTTGATCTTGAAGCTCAAAATGGCCTAGAAATATCTTAGAACTCTCATCACATTCGTCAAACTTTAAGGCTTAGGATAGTGGAAGATCACAGTGTCATTTGTATACTGTAAACGCAAAGTTTTCAACCCTTAATCCCTATTAAGATACCCTTGCATAAATCAACCTTCTTTGCCTTATACATCCTACCACTAAACACTTCTGTTTCAATCTTAAACAGAAATGGTGACAAGGGCAGCATTATCTTAATCCCCTCTGCATTTTAAGTTGCCTTGATTAATATTAAACCTTTATGCATTTTCTTTATTCTTTCTCTTTCTTTCTTACAAATAACACACACATATACTCTTATATAAATGTATTATAAAATTATTATTAAGAGATATACATATCTAATATACAACATCAATAGTATAAATCTTCAATAAGAGATTACATCAAATTTCAACCCAAAAAAAAAACCTAAAACCTAATTAAGTAAGTAATGGTTCACCACAGGACCTTAAGAGCAAGATTTGCTCTTCCCCGTAACCTAAGGTCTATGTTGCTCTATTTTATTTTTTATTTTTTGAAATATTCGTGTTCTATACATATTTGACACAATGATTATGAAATTCTGACTTTTAAATATGAAAAAAATAAAAAAAATTGAACATATTCCATATGAAACACATATTCAAGTCCTAAAACGCACCCAAAATCCAAAGCCGAGTAACATTAGGGGTGTGCATGGGTCGGTTTCAGTCGGTTTCGGTCGGTTTCGGGTCGGTTTTTCGTCAAAACCGATCAAAATTTTTTGAGATAAAACCGACTGAACTGCAATGATATAAAGTCGGTTTCGGTCAGTTTTTTAGAAGGTCGGTTTCGGTCGATTTTTGATGATGAGATCAATGGGTTGACTTAAGTTGACTTGGGCTAAAATGGGTTGAATTGGACTATGATCTATGGGCTAAAATGGTTAAAGATTAATGGGTAACATTAATTTCAATGGGCTAAAATACCAAAAGATCCATGGACTAAAATGGTTAAAAATATAATGATATTAATTTCAAATTAATTTTTTGTTAAATAATTTGATTTTTTTTCGTTTAACATGGGTAGTTATATAATAAGCTTTATATAATAAATAAACATTAGTTTCAAAAGTTCTATAATTAAATATGATCACAAAGAAATTAGCATTAGTTTTCATATAATAAATAAACAAACAAGAGTTCCACAACTTAAAGCTTGATGACATAAATTACTAAATTCCAAAAATATGAATCTCCAAGGCTCCAACTTCAATTTGTAATGATTTTGCAGAACATGCTCCTAAAAATATTAAAAGTAAATATATAATTAGTCTAATTATTTATGGTAAGATAACCTAAAGGAATTATAAATGTAATATAAATATTGCATAATACCTAATGATAACATTACCTGAAAATATTAGTCCGACTCAGGCTCAGACTCAGCTATTGTCTCCAACGCAATATTAGCCAACTCTAAAGAATAAAATAACAAATATGGTAAATTGATTTTTGACAAAGCAAATAAATTGAATTATAAATAAAATTATAAAATAAATAAAATATTTACCAAAATCAAGTTTATCAAGCTCGTCCAAATCATCTTCAATCAAATCCGGATCACCACGTGCCAATCCACGTAACCAATCTTGGGCACAAATAAGTGCTTGCACGATCTTAGGAGTCAAAGAACTCCTATATGCATCAAGCACACGCCCACCGGTACTAAAAGCAGATTCCGAAGCAACTGTTGATACGGGAACAGCCAATACATCACGGGCAATAGCAGCAAGTACAGGAAACCTAAACTGATTAAGTTTCCACCACATGAGAACATCAAACTCATCATCATCGAAACCCTCATCATCCACAGGCTCAGATAAATATTTTTCCAATTCCGTTTTCAGCTCATTTGATCCAGTGTTTAACCGGTGCTTCTTGAACCTATCCAATCTTTTT